GGCAGACACAGATCATGTTCCTTAAAGCATTTGTTCCTATTTATACAAGAAAAGCAATGACACTGTTCTCATCTGCTGGTATAGGAACCTCTTTCAAGACTTTGGAGATATTCACTTGAATGCAGAATGGCTTTAAAAACTCAGTGCCCTTCTGAACAAATGTTCCTTCCTTTTAAGCTTCTAAAAACTGATTCATTCTTTTAAATCTGTTGCAACCTTTTTTTTCTAGAAAATGCACTTCCATGAGCTAAAGTGGCCAAGTTTGATATACCTTTGAATTATCCTGCAAAGGGCCTTGCTTTCTCAGTCCACAGAGGCAAAACCTACAATAGTATTAACATTTTCGGTTCTGCTATCCATAAATACCTTATTCTGAAACCCTAGAGAAAATGTACCCTACAAAACAAAAGAATGCTTAACGGATTAATATATATAGCTTTTTAATTTTTACAAACTGTACAGATAACTGCCGTAAATCTCAGGTGTTTTTACCATCTCAATGATTAAATCATCTCTGTAAGTAGCAGCAAAAATTTTATAACCTCTCAGGGCCTGCATCATTAAGTACTGAAAATAACTTGAAGTGCTGTGCAAAGCAAATGGTACAGTTGTAAACTCCTACAGACTCCTAGGAACTTGAAGCCTTTCTTAAGGTAATAGTCAGTAATATTTCACATAAATAGAAAGCTAATTCTCTACTTTTCATTATCAGATGTTCTAGTCATTCTGGTATTGACATCTCCAGGTTTGCATTAGCATTGCTGTGGCTGCATACACCAGGTTGCCTATACCAATGCATCTAGAATTGGTACATCTCTACCACCTCTCGCCACAACAGGCTTAAAACTAATCCACTGTCCATGAATAACAAGTTTCTCAACAGCAGCTTTTCAATACGGAGCTTGCAATCTGTCTCCCATTCACTTTGTCAAATTATGGTCCACATATCAGCCATTTGCAGCAGTGATATATCTGTCAGGCGTCAAGTACATTTCTTGCAAAGGAAAGTCTTTTTTAGGATTTTTTAACTTTCAAAATGTCTAATCCCAAACATGCAAAATAATGAGTCAGTTGCCAAAAAATCATGATGGCTTTTTTTTTTTAAATATGTTAATGCCTTTTCCTTTGCTTTCTGGAGCTTTTTCTAGGTCATGTTTTCAAGTTTTTCTCCAACGCCATAAGGGTTTCAAACATTATTAAAAAGAAAGCAACTGAGATCCATTTGTAATTGTATGTTTAAGAAAAACGTTTATTACCATCAGACTTAAACTGTGTTGAACTGACAACCAAGAATCTTCAGAAATGTTTTTGACCAAATAATCCTGAAATAGGAATATTGCTTCAAACCTGCTTTCTCTAGAGTTTTGTTTACGTTACTTATGTATTTTTTTTTTCAGACAACTACACTTTATTAAAAGCAGGTTGTTTGACATGGAAAAAAGTCATGATTTAACATTATCTTGAAAGACTCTTTACAATATCAAAGTATGTGAGGTGCAAATTATACATTTATGTATATATATGTATACGTATGTATATATATGTATACGTATGCATATATATGTATACATATATATGTATAAATACATATATCCTGACACAAACAGTGATTTCTTCACCTGAAATTTGTGATTTTCTCTCCCGTAATATTGAGTACCCTTGAAATCTTTACCATGTATTTATTTTTTCAGTGACAAGAAGACAGCTTTGTGTGATAATGTGCATTACAAATCTTTTTAAAATTTCTTCACATTTCACCTGTTTTGTGGAGAAAATGTTTGTGAGTATTGATAAATGTAACCATTCGTGTTAAACATCATCATCTCAGCTTATTTTTGTGGCACTCACTAATTCGTTTTCATTTAAAGAAAGAAAGGTATTCCTTTTTTTTCATAACACAATTCCTCTGTTGGGCATTATCTAAGATCAGTACAGTGTCCTTCCTGTGTTCCTTCTCTTTCATCCTTTCTGTCCTGATTAAAACTACCAGAGACTCAGGAAACTCAGTGGGATTGCTTATGGTGTCTTGAAGTCACCCTTTCTTTCACTGTTTTTGCCTGTTAAACCTTGTTTTGCTCATCAACCCTTCTCCCGCATCCCACTGGATTCCCAACTTTCCTTTGTCAGCACCCTTGTTTGCAGCTAATTGAGCTCCTCTTCATTTTCCCTGCCCCATTCTCTTCCTCTTCTTCCCCTCTCAGTTTGCCCATCTCCTCAAGTTTCCCTCCTATGCCTTGTGTCAGTACTGCCCACAGCACAGCCAGGCCTGAGCACCATGATCTAATGGGGGCAGATGCCAGGTATTTCACTGGTGCTTTACACTTTCGTCTGTTTCCTGGTTTCTGGGGCATGCACATGGATCACAGCGTACTTCTGCCACCACAAACTCTGGGCAATGGCTTCCACTCTGCTGGGACTGGAAACTATGTTCTCTGCTGGCAGCTCGACCCAGTCAACCTCAGAGGGCTGCCAGGGCAGCCTGACCCCATCTTTGCAACACGGCCGTGGAGACGGGCCGGGGGTCTCACAGAGGCACCTCAAGGGACCTGCCCGCGGCCACAGTGGCAGCCTGAGGCTGGCCCAGTGAACCGCTCGCTCTCCCACCGCCACTTCCACCCGGCCCTCCGGCCTGGCCCCGGCCCCGCCGCGGACGAGATGCCATAGTAACGGGACGGGGCCGGGCGGCGCCGGGAGCCGGGCGAGGAAGGCGGGTGGGAAAGGGCGGAGACGGCGGCGGGATGGCGGGCGCGGCAGCGCCCCCTCTCCGCGACTCCCAGCCCCGTCCCCGGCGGCCGCAAATGGCTCTTCCTTTGCCGGCCCCTTTGTGTGAGGCACACTCGGAGCAGCAGCTCCGCGGCGGAGCGCGGTGCGTCCCCTGCCGCCGCCCGCCGAGACGGACCGAGCCGAGCCGAGCCGAGCCGAGAGAGCCAGGCGGTTCGGGGCGGCCATTCCAGCTCTTCGTCTCTCCGCTCACTCCCGGGGTACGCGGGGGCCCGGCCGCTGTCGCCGCCTCCCCCTTTATCCCCCTCCCCACCCCAAGGGCCCACTCCTCACCGTGGAGGGCAACCAAAACACACGGCCACCAAAACCCACCAAATAAAATATAACAACAATCACAACAACAATAATAATAAAAAAAATAGAAAGAACGGGAAAAGAACAGAGGGAGCAAGCGAGAGGGAGGGAGGGAGGGAGAAGCGAACCAACTCTGAGACTCCCATAAAGAGCGGCACGCACGGAGCGAGCGCCCCGGTGCCGATGCGTGGGGGAAACAATAAGTACTCGAAGTTACCTGCCCTGCCGTAGAAGAAGGAGGGTTCGTGGGTTCTCTCGCAGACATCTGCAGACCGGTGCTTTTTTGGAAGAGATTTTTTTTTTTTCCTCTCCTCTCTCTCTCTTTACAAACCACAAACGGATGTGAGGCAGGGAAGGTGTTTGACTACTGAAGTCAGGCACCTCTTTTTTATCCTTCTCAGTCTTGTGTGTCCCCCCCTTCCCTCATACACACATACACTCACACACCCCCCCTTTTTTTGCACCAACATTAACGACCTAAAGAAAAGGAAAGGAGTTTGCTTGATGTTTTAGTGAAATGGACGTAAGATTTTATTCACCACCTCCTCAGCCTGCAGCCGCTCCTGATACGCCTTGTTTGGGACCTTCCCCCTGCCTGGACCCCTACTATTGCAACAAGGTGACTCGTGTTTTGTGTCGTCCGAGGTGTTTTATCTGTGCTGTCGGTGTGTGCTGTTGTCGCGGAGTGTTGCATGAGCGGGCGCTGCGCTTTGGCGAGCGGCGCACCAAGTTCCCGGGCGAGGCGGAGGGAGGGCAGCGGTACTTGCCGGGGTTTGGGGAGCGCAGTGCCGCCCGCCGCGGAGCGGTGCCGCCGGGACACACACCGGCTCCCCCGCAGGCACCCCAAATTAAACCCCCGGAGTAGTCTGGGGGCGGGCGGCTGGAGCGGGGGGGTGGGTGGGGGAGGCATTTTCCATAACATCTTTTCGGAGAAACGGCGTGGACGGGGATGCTGATGCTGGGGACTTGAATTTCCAAGACTGCTGTTAATGAGAAAGATCGCGCCCCCCCCCCCCCCCCCCCCCCCCAAATCGGCAGAAACTCTGCCCCGTAGTTCGTGTGTCAAAGCGGTACTTGGCGGTGCCAGGAGCGCGTTTGGGTATCTGTGTTTGTATGCGTGTGCCATACATACACATACCCATCTCTCTATATGCACAGTAAGTGTGTATAGTGGTGACAAGTCGGTTCAGAACATTGGCTCGACACTGTCCCAGCTGTGCAACTGCCTTACCAATTTCTCTGTAACTTGATTAAACCTCTGCAAATAAGGTCAGTACCTGAGCAGACCTAAGTTTTAGGTTCCCGAGCCCAGGGGAAGGAGGAACCGCAGAGGAGGCCCGCGCTCGCCCAAATCCTGAGTCTGGTTCCGAGAGTTTGGTGCTACGGTCCGGGAACACTTTGCGTGACTTTCGCTGCCGAGGAAGGGGGCTGGGGTTCCTACATTGTTACTGCCGCTGTGGCCTGAGCCAGCTGGTGCTTTATGCATGAGCTGCACTTTCTCTGCTGTTACGGAATGGGCTTTGCACATGAATAAAACGGTGGCTGTAGCAAACGATCGGGAAGTGCGAGTTGCCCAGAGCACTCCTTTGAGCACACCCCGGCCAAGGGGGGAGCAAGCCGGGAGAGAGCGATGTGTTCAAACCTGCGCGCTCGGGCGCTCGTTCGGGAGCCCGCCGTGGCAGCCCGTGGCGGGCTGCGGCAGCAGATGGCTTTTGGCAGCGCAAACCCCGCCGTGCGCAGGCTCCGCAGGCCCGGCCGCGGGTGCGGGGGGCGGCGGGGTCCGGGGGTCGCGGGGACCCGCCCGGCCCGGCCCGGCCCGGCTCGGCTCGGCCCGGCTCGGCTCGGCCCGCGGCGGACAGCCCGGTCCCGCGCCCGGCTATTGTGACGGTCTCACGTGTCAGAGAGACGTTCCGAGCCGTCCCTTTCATCCCGAGCAGCTGCCTCGATTCAGAGATAAACAGCAAAATAGCGTGTGTCTGTGCTGAGGCGCGGAGGCTGCGGCGCCCGGGTGAAGCCCTCTCAGTTTTCCGGAAAGATTTCCCACATGGTCGCATCTACCAATCACAACAGAAAGGACCAAATTCATCCTGGCTGCATTTCACATATACTCAATGGAGTTATAGAATCCAGGGATAAATCTGGCCCTTTGTGGTGGATGCCTAAGGATATTTCAAGAGAGATCCCAGAGGTATGACTGTTAGCACTGTTTTAAGTAACTGTTTTGCAGCATCTGGCAGACCTGCCCTATAGATTGGAAGTTTGTGCCAGGAATGAACTTTGTTCAGCAGGAAGAGTTCAGATGCGTAGGAGCGTTTATGTGTGCATTATTTTTTTGTTAGTGCTCTGAGTAATCATGGGGCTACTGCTGCCTTTCTTCTGTGGCTTGCTGTTATTTTCTCTATTGTCAGTTTTGTAAATTGTAACAGTGAAGTGTTGCCATGTGAAAAGCCTGGGCTGATATTAATGACATAAGCACCAAAGTGTTTGACGACCCATTTGGTAGTGAAACTGGACAGACGTTATTAAACCTATCAATGATTTAAAGCTTCAGAAAGAAGGTAATGAGTTGAATACACATTTCAGTCATCATTCTTGAGATAGTGTACCAGATTTAATTTAAAAGTTAAATGCTTTGGAAAATCAGGAATTACTTTAATATATTAAATCATTTTCCAATTAAGTTCCTTAAATAATTTTTGGTGTGTTGCACTGAAAATCGAATAAATTAATTTAGAAAGTCGTTTCCAGAATTTCTTTACTAGCTGGCTAAAGCTTCTTTCAAGTCATGCCATGTATGAGGGAGCAAACTGTTCTTTTTAAATGCAAATGAGACACTCATTCTGTAGACAAGTTGCAACTCTTCTATTTCACTTTGCCTGAACTGATAATGTGCTTAAAAGTGCACAGTCATAAGACATATGTTTTATGCTTGGAAAAGACTTACCAAGAATGTTTCAGTATAAGATACCGAGTATTGAACAAATGTCTTTTTCAGATGTCTTTGCCACTGACCAGTGATTACGTTAAATGGACAGAGTAGGTTTGCCAGGCCCCTTTGGAGGCATACACTTAGTGAACATTTCGTTTTTCACCCCTTTCACCCAGCATGATTAACACTGCTGTGAAAACTTATCTGACTTGTTCTAAACATGTCGTCATGTTACAGTATTGTTCTGTCACTCATTTTCAGGCTCTGTGTATTTAAGGAGTTTGAAGGGCAGGAGGCCTGCAGAATTTTGTGTTCGGTGTATTTGGTTGAGTGTTTGCTTGAGTGCTCTCTCCCAGGAAAGGAGATGGAGATGATGGAGTATGATGGATCCACACTCTGGGTCAGAATGCTGATCTTCATTAGGTCTTAACCTGCAAAACTCATTTGAAACTGGATTTTGGTTCTTGTAAAGTTAGTTAAAACTTGCTTTTGGCCCTTATTAGAGGATTTGGCCCTATTTTTCATACCTGGGTTTTGGTCATGTATTTTCTTTTACAAATTTGCCAGACTTTGATTCTTTACATTTTAAGTTTGCTTGAGCTGCTGGTAATTTCAAATGTATTCCACAAATACTTAGTCTTTTAGGTTTTCTAATTGTTCTGTTAGCACTAGTTTTTTTCCTGGTCAGATGATTGCTCATAGCCTGAGTTCCCAGGCACATGCATGGGAGGTATTGACATGCACTTTTCTGTAGCCAAAGGAAAATGCAATAATGTAGATTCAAACGTTCACGTCTTATCTTACAATTTTCAGTTGGCAGGCTTTGTTTCAGAAGACTGCTTAGATCTTTATTTTATAAACCTAAAATAGCATTCTAAGCATCTTAGCCTAATATTTCTGTATCTGCTGTGAAAGCTCGTTATATTCTGCATATATTGTTATGCAGACTTTTCCTTGTTTCTTTTGCATTACCCATGAAGAGAGAAAAGTGAAAGAACAATGCAAACAATGTTGGTTATGACAACTGTGTGAGGTATCTCTTATACAAACAGACAGAATGGACGGTATGCTGTGGTATATAGGTCAGCCTTTGAAATAACATAGTGGAGCTCTTACACTGGACAGATTTAGGGTTGGGGTTGTACTGTTCGACTCTTGAAACTTGAAGCATAATTACATTTCAGATATGTATGTGAATAGTCTGTTCAGTTGAAGTTTATTTTGGGAAGCATCACATTCCGTAATTGAGTTGAATGCTATAAAAGAAATAACTTTGATAATCCAAATGTCTTAATTTGATAGAAGAATATGGCCAGTGATTTTGAGCTGCTTGAAATGATAAGTTTAAATGTTTATGTAAAGAGCAATAAATAACGGCCTTGTGGCTTTCTGCATTGAAGTGTCATCTCCAAAGACTGCTTTGATCGGTACTGTAAGAAAGATTGGTATATTTTAATTTTAATACTTGCAACTTTGCAGTGTTTTCAGATATCTGCTCACATAAAGTGCAGTTATATAATTATAGTTTGACACAGCTAATGACAGGGATGCTGACCTCTGCCAACAGTAGGCAGAAAATAATGGTCTTTACTGCTCCCAATGGTTAGCCCTGCAGAATTATGCACTGGATTCTTCTGTGATTTGCTACCTTGTTCAAAAATACGGGAGCCTACAACTCATCTTTCTTGTATTCACTGGTAGTTGTCAGTGCAGTGGAAAAATACAGCCAGACAGCAGAGGTAAAATGATAGACTGTAGTTGTTTTTAAAGAGAGGAGTAAGAGGAAAAGGGAGGGAGAGGGAAGCAAAACCTTTCAAAATGAAAAAAACAGAGTGGCATTGGGTAAAAGTGGATAAGGAGATATAATACAGTGCTTTGTAAGCAGGTAAAATCCCACTCGTAATCAGAATTCCACAGAGCAAAAGTGCATATATTTATACTCGGCATTTAGACTAATTTATTGTGTAAACTTAACTCTACCATAGAGACTACTCTAAATACAATGTTCCATGGCTGTTTACAAAGTGTACATTATTTCCAGTGGCATGCTCCCATCTAGTCTCTATCTGAAACTCAGAATTGTGGCAAGCAAGTGCTCTGAAGGCAGCTCTAAAGTTGAAATGCTGTGTTACTGTTTTGACAGCATTTTAGATTATGTTCATATTGTTTATTCTGGACATATTTTTTTCACTTAGAGAAGTACTTGTCCTCTACTGCATTAGAATCATACTTTAAATTTGTTGCTGTTTTTTAAAGGAAAGATTAAACAGTTGCATTATGGCTGACTGTTGATTTTTCGAGTGTTAAGTGTTATAGTTTCAAAAATACCACATAGGAATAAGGGAAATGGACTTTTCTTTCCTGTGTTACTAGACCTTAGTATGTAGTCTTAGAGTTTTGGGCAAGCCTCAGGTGTGCCTCCTGAAATTCCAGTGTTTCAGAAAAGAAGTGGTTCCAACGTTAGTGGAATAAAGAAAACAATTTATGTGTGTTCTTTTGAGAAATCTTTCTCAAAGATGTCTATAAACCAAAGCACTTGCAGCAATTTTTTTTTTCTTTCTGTGAAACATCAGTTCCTTCAGAGGAATTATGTTTTATTCTCTTACAGAATGATGCATTTCAACTCTAGGGCATTAGCCTCCATCAGCCTATCATGAGGTCTTCTGAAAAAAAAGTGGAAACAGTAAACTACCAAGAATGCTGAATTAGCTAAACACTACACTACATACGCAGTACCTTTGTTGTTTACATTAAACCAAAGAGCAGCTGGAGCTGCATTTGAGAAGGTGATACTGTGGAAGACTGGGCAGTCCGTTGAATTTGGGGCTTGTTGGGCATGTTAACTGGGAAGAACTGAGTACCCTCCGATCCTCAGATTCCCATCTTAGCAGGACTGTCTTGTCTTGCTGAGAATGTAGAGAAGCATTTGAAAGCGCACTATGTTTAAAACACTGTTTATGTTTAAGAAGAGAATTATCCTAATCATGGTAGGATTTAGATAAAAATTCTTGGATATTTAAATCCCATATTGATGGTAGATATAACAAAGCTTAGACGTTGGAAGTAAAAAGCTTCCTTTGACGGCACTCTCAGCATGGCTCAAGAGTGACCTGAAAGCACCACTTCGTGTGGTGAGAGGGTAGTCCCTGGATCAGTGAAGACCTTGGCTTCTGGAACTGACAGCAGAGGCAATTAGTGGCAGCTTTGTTTATCTTTTTGAAGAGGACACATGCTCTTTGAATGTCTAGCATGGACTGCATACGCTGAAGTACTTATTTTAAATATAGCCTAGATTTAAATGTTTTGTTGTTGCGGTTGAACTGTGTGATTGCTGTAGATCTCTTCCAACTGTAATAGTCTATTCTACTGTTTTAGTTACGCAACTGGGTACCGATTTTCTGCCCAAGGAATGTTTTCTCATTAAAAACGTTGAGTTACAAACTGCTCCAAAACATGGTTTATAACAGATTCGCCAAATGACTCTTAATTATAGCAGTGCTTCCAAAATACTTTCAGGCATGGAATTCACATCAACCCAAATGAGATTTTCTTGGTCATAATGCTTTTCCCTACAGCGTTCAGTTCGAAAACGGCAGCGTTGCATTATTCTATGGTTAGGCACAGATTATGTAGCAGCAGCAACAAACACTGCCCTGCCACAGCAGCGAGTGCACAGAAGAAACTCTCATCCCCCTTCTACTGGAATATCTGCCTTTTATGTTCATCGGTAGTGATCAGTTTTTCAGTCAATAAGTCAGGGCACGGAATAAAGTGTTTAAATCTTGACTTAGACCTTCAAACTTAAAATTGCTTTTCAGCAGACATCTTAGTGCAATCGATATTTGCAATGTCTGTGGTTTTCTTTTCCTTCTTATGTTTGCAGTAAGTACTTTATTTTTATCATTTGAATTTCATATGGCTCTAATAATATTTGTATTTTATCTTTCAATTGCACATACGCTAGCACTGTTCCTGAACTGTTCATTTAGTATTTCTCCCTGGGCTGCTATTTGATTTGCCACAGACACTTGTAGTATGGTTTCCTCCCAAGAAACACGCTGCTTTCTAAGTTGCAAAACATACTTGAATTACATGAGCATCTGACAAGTCCAGGTTAGTGGAAATGTCAGAATGTTTTAGCATTCACATTCTTGACTGTTAAACCACTCTCTACCAATCAAAAGTGGCACGAGTAGCTTTTTTCAAAGGTAGTGCTGGCTAAGCATGGAAATTGAGCTGCTGTGGTGGTACTTTTGTCT